CCCCCCCCCCCCCTCCCCCCCAAGATTCTCAAAAATCCAAAGAGCAAGCCTTGTGCATCTTGCCAATCAAATAGGATTATTCAGCTCTTTAAACTTGCCAGTGAATGATGCTCTGCTGTCTTAAGGATCTCCCACGTGGGGTCCTGCTCTTCAGGGAGTTCTACAAAACTTGCTCTTTTTAAAGCTGTGGATTCATTATGTTTGTGTAAGTAATGAAGAAAGAACAGTGAAAAACCTTCAACCCAAGGGTACAGACAGTGAAACCACAGCAGAGCAGGTCAGTGTCCAAGTTTGCATCAGAGGCAATTGGATGGAAACTTCTTGAGTCCTGCTCATGTTCTTAGGCACTAAGCCACTGCAGGCCCAGTCTCCTCTTCTACCTGTGCAGTGAGAAGAAAGTATTTTTTTCAAAACTTGCAGTTAATGAAATTTGTCCTGCAATGAGAGGCTTTTGACTTTTCTTGCTTCTTGTCTCAAACACACTGGTGTGCTTCTTCCCCTGGACAGCAGGCCTGCCCCAGCAAATGTCTTTACCAGCTCTCTAAGGGAGCAAAATGACTTCTTTTATCAGAAAATATGTAGTATCGCTATAAACCTAGATGGGATGATTTCAGTGACACTTCATCTGCAGTAGTGTTTTGGCCCAACAGAAACAGATGGCTACCTCGTACTTTACCAAACATCAGTGATTCAGTCCTCTGCTAAGGACCAAAACTACAGCTGTATTTGGACTCCTGCTGCAGTAGAAACACAGGCCATTTTTATTTTCCAGGTTTCCATTTTCACCAGGAAAGTTGCCAATGTAAAAAAAAAAAAACAAAAAACAAACAAACCCCAAATCAATACCTCCTGCCCTGACTTTAGCACTAAGAAGACATTTTACAACATAAATTTCTCAGTCTTGCTGAATGTAGGCTGTACATGATACTGCCTTAGCCAACAACCAGCTGCACCCAGATCACGGCGGACCCTCCACGAAGCGCAGTCGCAGACTGCAGCAGTCAGTGCCTCAGTTTGGTAACGCCACACCAAGGAGTTACTTCTTTATTTTTTGACCACTGTGTAGTTGTGTTTCCATAGCAACTTCCTCATGTGTTTCTGTCACCCAGTTTGTGTTGCTCTGCTCGTGTCAGGCTCAGCTAAACTGCAGACTCATTGGTGTAGACCTCTCCATGCTCACAGCGTGAGGCAACTCACATGCCATTGGCCCTCCCACATCGTTATTTCAAAATGTTATTCTTGTTTTAAGAAAGCAGCTGGACACAGAGAAGCTCCTTATAGCTTCATTTTATTTAGCAGCTGCGGCAGTACCGTCCAGCCTGAGCCTTGGCTGGGCCTGGGAAGCGCTTCCCCTCGGCCGCAGCCCAGCTGTGCCCCGTTTCTGGTCCTCTGCAGGGTTTCGGCTGAACAACCAGCTCTACGACATCATCACCATGCGATACGCCGACAAGAACATGAACATCGACTTTGACAGCTTCATCTGCTGCTTCGTACGCCTGGATGCCATGTTCAGTGAGTGGCTGCCCCAGTTTTACTCCCCTCCTCACCCCCAAAACACAGTTGTACAGAAAGCAACATTTGTTTAAACCACTACTGCCTATATACGGTATTAATAATTAAAGATACGTGCTTAGGGAATCTAAAATATGACAGCCCTCATACAAATACAAAAGAAACCACCACCTTTCCCCTTGTATTAGCTAAAGAAAAACGTAACAGAAAAACTTGCTGACCACCTAAGTAAATACCTGCACGAGTGTGCATAACACAACAGGAACACGCTTTGGCTTGCTGTCTGGGATTATCTTTACATACACAGTAAATTAATCTACTCCATGTATTATTTCCTTGCTTTAGGGGCATTCCACGCCTTTGATAAAGATGGAGACGGCATCATTAAGCTCAATGTCCTGGAGGTAAAATGCTTTATACCAGTATTTCTAACACAATGTCACAATATGAAATTTTAATCATATTATTCATTGCACATGTTCTCAAGGGAGTCCATGAGAGTTGGTCTGAAATTGTCATCCAATTGGTAAGAGGCTGCAAAACCTCCTAAAAATTTTGGTACCAATTTTACATGGAAAACATTTGAAGTGCTTCAAAAAACTTTTGAGATTTTTTTTTTATACAAGGCAATTTAAATCAAACATACCTATATGGCATTAATTAATAATGAGGTTTAACATAGTTCTCTACCTTTTAAAAATCTTATTAAGGCAACTTAGAAAGTTTCAACTTTAAAACGTGTCTTCTGCTTTATAAAAAACCCTCTTCAGTTTTTGCAAGGCAAGAAGGAATAGGAGCAAGAAGTCCAAAACAAAATTCCCCCCTGTCACTATGCTTCCTATTAACTGTCAGCAGCAACTGCCTTCCAACTAGAGATGATGGTATCTCAATACAATTTGTTGAAGGATGCCAACAAGCCTTCCATCTTTTAATTCTAACTCTTGTTTCAGTGGCTGCAGCTCACGATGTACGCGTAACACCAGAGTCAGAGGCCACTTTCATCATTCAAGACTTCTGTTTTGGGTAACTAGCTCCATTCATCCCCAAGTGCAAACAAGAACATTTGCTAATTATGTGCGTTGCTAACCAAGACAAACAGTGCATGGGAAGAAGCCCTTGGAAAAAGATAAGCATACTCCAGTAGACAGATCAGCACACATATTCTGCAACTATTTTTGTAACTTCCTGATATTTTCCTTCAGGCAACAAGGATTAATCTCCTGATGACTGAATTAAGCTTTTTCTGCATGGTAAAGACACAGAGCATGCGTTGTTATTCTGCTTATGCTGACAACTGGAAAATCTTCACTCAGGCAAAACTGGGACTGTATCTTAACTGTGAAAATCAGAGGTGTTTACTACCACTGTGTAATTAGTCATGAACTCTTTGCCCTGCTTCTGATACTACAAGTTCAGCCTCTTCAAAATGTTCACTGAATATTTCACATGAGATTGTGCTCAAATAATATTATGCATCCAATGACTTACGTTGTTACAGATGTGGCTGGGTGGAGGTTGGTTCTCCACTCTGGTAGAAATGGGGAAGTAAGGCACAGGGGACTGCAGTACCTGCGTACAGCTTGGTCTAGTGCCTCAGCAAAAGGGGCAGAACCAAGCAATTTGCTCTCATTTTTAAGTACCCCCATAGAAACTTAATTACACATTGGACATTTTAAATGTTTATTATTGTAACTACATTGTCTATAATATCGAGAAAATTGTTTCCCGTTTGAGACAGAAAACCTCCTATACATACAGATTTATATAGCTACACAGGCACTTCCCTCCCACCTCAGGGTCCTATTTCCTGAGTTTCATGTGTATCTTCACTGTAACTGATGAGTTGTAGCAGAATCAGACACTATGTAAGCATGACCACTTTGGGAAGATTATTTGAATGTGTATGTAAAATTAGTTTAACTGAACTGAAAATAAAAACAACCAGATTTTGGCCTAATTGTTAAGGTTGTTTTTATTTTGAAAGAACACTTGTTATTTGCTTCTTTAATGCATTATTTTTTTAAAAAACGCACTTCAGCTTGAAAGGTTCCATCGCCAGCTTCAAGGATGACAGAGTTCCAGAACTGGTCAATCGTTAATCAATATAAAAATGGAAGGACAAACAAAACGTGCAAGAAAAGGTGTGACAAGACCAGACTTGTATCAGGAGAAGATTCTACTTAGTTCTCCAGTGGTGAAAAGTAACAAAGCAATCCACTTGCTAAGCAAAACTGTAAAAACAAATTGTAGCATCAACTCAAAGTTCTTCTGATAAATAACACATTTAACCAGAAGGTCACTAAGAAACAGAAAACCTTTTGACTATAAAGTTCTTAATGTTGTCTAGCACTGTAACTTACTCTGAAAGAGTAAGAAACCCTGTAGTTTGTCGAAAGAAGAGTTATTCTCCTTTAAATTCAACTTTAACTGAAATCACTTTAAGATGACTGGAATGCCAGGAGCCCTGGGTTCCAGCCACGTGTTATCTCCCCATGGCTCTATTTTCCATGCAAAAAAAAATACAGCAGAGATGCTCTTAAGGTGAGATATTCAGAGAAAGACAAAATCTATCAGTCAAAAGACAAAAATCAGGATATTTGATTTGCACCTAACTCAAAACTGGTCCTTAAAGTCCTGGTGAGTGAAATACCAACAGTTCCAGAGAATGTCCCTTTGCAACAGGCCATGAAGCAAGAGAGTCGCTACATCCTGGAGGCACCAGCTGCACGGACAGTTTCCATCTTCCCTATCAAACAAGTAGGTCTGAGCTTCCTGTACACTGGGAGAAAAAACTTGCAACATTCCTGCCAGTGCTGGAGCTTCAAAGTGGCCTGTCTGATTTTATCTAGCCCTCTTCAAAAAGGAAAAAAAAAATAAATCCAAAGTCAAGTTCTACCAAATCCTGTGGAAGAATCATTCTATTTAAAACAAAGAAGAATCAGACTGACAAACCGTAACAATATAAAGAACTTTATTTTTTTTTCCCCTCTTATTTTTTATTTTGCTGTGTAAAGTTTCATTATTATGCTCACAGCTTTGTACCAAAGTGAGAGAAGAAAACCAAGGTCAACCTGTGCACATGTTCTACACAGCTTATTAAATATTCAATCATGTTTTATTCCATTTCCATTCTTCAAAAAGACTGTTTAACACTTACAGCAAAATGAAATTTGAGAAGATGGCAGGTGCCTATAACAGAATATATACCTACACAGTTTGCTTTTTCACGATTAAACATTTTACAAAGTGTAGCTGAAACCGTTTGCTTATCCTCCTTCACATGTTCTGCAACTCTGGACAACTTAGACTGTGAATGATAGTACCATGCAAGCCTGAAAACCAAGATTCACCTGTACCTGTGTTTTAATTCAAAAGAAGGGAAAAATATCTTCTCAATACCCGATTTTTGTTTCTGGGAACGTGTGGTTTTGAGTGTTTTCAGTTATCATTTACCTCGATCTGGCATTATTGTACAGTTTGAAAATGGGCATTAAGAACTACACTAAACACACTGCATGGCCAAACTCCTCTATTTTACAGAGGTCAGCTCGTGCGCTGCTGCTATGTTTCAAGTCTGCAATCCACACATAAGTGACACAAGGCAAGCAGAAGCTGGGATATTTAATGCATCTTCGTACCAATGGATGCAGCAGCATTAGGCCACAGAGTATTTTGGGCTGCCAGTTAGCTGTTGTTTTTTCCCTGTGATTTGAAGGAGAAAAAAAACATAGACCAATTCTAGCATTATCTTATCATTCAAATACATGTGAGGCTATCGGGGTTGGGGAAGGTCAAGCTCTGCAGCACATGTGAACATTGTGACCATTTTAGGCTACTACAAGCTCAGGCAAGTCTTGGTATGCCTATGGCACAAGAAGATCTCACGCTTTTGAAGAGAATGATATTGATATTAACTGGTTTCCAGGAGCACCTGGCCTATTCTGGCATAAAAGCATACAATGCCTCTGAGCACTTTGCCTGCTGAGGCGGCTCAGGCGCAACATCAGTCCTGCTAAGAGGGAAATGGTGCCTTGCCCTCCAAAGGGCATGCCATATGTAGTCAGCCATATAGCAAGTCCAGAGCTCATTATTTAATATTTTCCTGATAAAATGAACACAGCTAACCACATGACAAACCCTCACTCTAGTCACTCTTCCACCCACAACTTTTTGCTTGCATAAAAAAAAAAACTGAAAACAAAAATAGTCCTGAAACAAGCTTCAGATGTGCAGTACTGCTTTTCATGCAAATATTACACTTAAATTTCACAAATAGACTACCTTCCCAAAGTTACTACACTCTTTGACTGGAGGTATATCAGGAGTCAAAACCCTAAGTTGCAAGACCAGAGAGGATCTCATTAAAGGTTACCAAGCCAATACATCAGTGTGGCATCTCTCTTCCACAATTGCCTCTGAAAGAAGTGAATGGCCAACAGCAAAAGCTGCACCAAATTCCTGCTATTCAAGTAGGAAACATACCCACAGAACTCTAGAGAGGCCTGGGCATTTCCATGGATGCACAATAACTTCATAGCAAATCCTTTTAAGATCTCCTCAGGACAAAGCAGCGCAGCATTTTCTTCTGTTCAGAAGCACTGAGCAATTTTCAAAATTGTTTTTAATTTATGAAGCAAAATTTTATAAACATTCCTGCCACCCTGCTATTTTCCTACTTCTTAACCATTTTGAGATTCTTACAATATATCTGAAATTACCTATAAAGTAGCAAAAGACATCACTGCTAAAACTGAAGTTGGATTTCAGAAGTCCAGACTTTTCAGGAAGACTGTTTTCAAGGACAGATAAGGAAATACCATGGACTGAAAGAAAAATAATTTGCTTCCACCAAATAGAAAAAAAACCCAAAACCCAATAAGCAATCAGGAATGCAAATAAAGTATAATAACTGTGTTTGTTGCAACACCACGTTCCTGAAAACAGCTGAAAGAACGTAAAGTATCACAAGGTGTAACAAAATCTTACTCTCACACACCATTTTTCAGAATGCTACAATCACTCCACATGCTTGTCCCTAGGACACACAACTCCACACCTTCACTTCAACCACAGTCCATGAAGGACAGCTTGATATGTTCACACTGTTTGTGCCACACTTCTACATGCTCCCTCATTGTGGTTCAAAAAAAAAGACAAAAACCCCAAAAACCCAGAACAACTCATGAATATCCTCTTAAATATGAATAATTTTGGAAATGGTTTAAGTATTATGCAGTCTTCTGCTTTTAGGTCATGGAAAAAGCAAATACTGTCTAGTTTAGAGCAATACAGCCTGCATCAGAAAACATTTACACTGCTCAGAGACTTCCCTGAACTGGATTCTCTCTCAAATTGCTTCATCCACAGAAAGAAATTTTAAAAAGCTGCAAACAAAACCAACAACAACAACAAAAAAATCAACACAAAACCACAAACACACAACCCAAAAAGCAAAACAAGAACACCCTCAAAACAGCCTAGGGTTTGAGCCACATACTAGGTTTTTTTCCTGTCCACAAACATCTTAATAAAAAACTCCAAACAAAGCACTGGAACCTCAGAGATTCCCAATGTCTCTGAAGTAGGATGCTACTACTTCTCATTCCTATCTCCTGACTCTCACAACGAAGTCATCAATGTCAAGCAATTCCAGAGAAATTATGTTTGTCTACTAAGACAATAGAAAAATAGTGTGCTTCAGAGAAGGCCCTGAAGTTCCTTGATTTGATAGCAGTGGAACATCCATGGGCTTTCCTCAGTCACTTTCTTGGCCTAAAAAGGCTTCATTATAGTCAAAGGATGAGGCTATAAAACTTATTTGGTCTCTGGTTGGCAAATTGAGCCTCAAAGTAGTGGTGAAAGAGGTGCCCGGTAAAAAGAGTACATTCAGTCTGTTTGAAAGGTGCTAGATTCGTTTATAATCAGCTCAGGTTTGACACTGGGCTGTCTTTACCTTCTGTTACAGTTTAAGAAAACGTCTGCTTTTTTTATCCTGAGCAGCAAGTTAGGCAAAAGTGAAGACAAAGCTCCTTGCTAGATTAGTCTCATTGTTTAAGAGAGCTCCTTGATAAATTAGTGTCATTATGGGAGAGAGGATTGCAAATGCAAGAATTACGTTTCACTGAATTTAATGGGTAAAGTTTTCCACCCCAAGGGAAACCTGTAAAATAAAACAAGTAGCAACAGTCTTCCCCTCTGCACTGACTTCTTTGTGGTATCTTCTGTGCATTAGTAGAAACAAGACTTTTACATGTGATATGCATTTTGTATCCTCAGCTTCTGCTTGAGAACTTTAGACTTAAAAAAAATCCTTTAAAATCCTGCTCCATTCTTTCCAGTTGAGATTTTGTGAACTTGGTATAGCCCAAGCCAATTAAGCCAGTTCACAACAGAAACAAATCACCACCTAAGTAGATGCACTTAAACAGGCAGTGCCTTTGCACTTCTCTTAGTTTGCTATGCCATGAAGATACAGGACTGCAAAGCTCAGTCACTAGGATTCCAAATAAAATGGAACCCAGCTGTGGTGTTGTATCAAGACAGCAGTGGTTATGCTGACATTTAACTAAAACAAAAGCTCACACCACTTCTTTCCTGTACATAAGGACCTCTATTTAAAAAGACTAACATTGCAAAACACAGTGAGTGTGGAGTCACTGTTTTGCTGCTACTGGCATACATACCTCTCAAGAAGTAACTGCTTTCCTCCAAATAAAAGTATCTCAGGAGGTATAGTTTTTAGGGCAGTCTGTCACTGTACATATTGTGCCAGTTATAGCAATTTTTACACAAGGAAAAAAAATAAGTTACAATTAACATAAAAAAAAATTAATTTATTTCAGTTCTCCATAAAATACCTTTCCTTTTTATGAAGAAAGTCAAAATGTACAATGGATGTTCAAGGTTACATTGCTAGAATTTGATATTCTGATTTGCAGAATTATATTGAAATCAGCTAAAAAACCTGGGTACAACAAACACAGACATGTCTTAGACACTTTAACAGGCTTCAAGCTGAGTTTACAAACATCAGCACCTATTGTAATCTAAGTTCTCAACATTCTTCTGAACTTGCCAAAGACACTCAGACTATGCTTCTTAAAAAAACCAAACAACTAACAGAAGAAACAAACAACAAAACACCAAGGCAGACAAGAGGAGGGAATATTCTTATCTGTCAATGAATTAAAAACTTGCAAGAATCTTCCATTTGGGCCAAATCTTAATTGACCAGCCTTATTTCTACAGAGTACAACACAACCTGCAGTCTCTGTAGCAAGGTATTTCAGCCCCACTCCATTTTTGCATTCCAAGCAGGAAAAGAAAGAGGAAAGACTGGAGTAAGAAACTGATGTTATTTGGAATAATTCCGACATATAAAATTACTTCCCAATGTGGGAGGTGAAAAGCTTCATGAGTCAATCCTGCTGTCATCCTCAGCATGTCTTTCAATGTGTCCTACAGCATCCTAGAGAAGAACCAGAGAAGTCAGTTAATACTACTAATAATAATCATCATCACAAAAAAAAACCACCCACAAAAAGACTTTGCAAAAGATTCTTGAAGCTTCAGTGAAAGTGACATTCTGGATAACATTTTTTTGGGCTTAAAGCTTCTTAAAAAATAAAAAAAACCCATGCCATGCTATTAAATCACATATATAAAGTATCTCACATACCACAATTCAAGGCAAATAATAACCCGCTTCCCTTCTGACTAGAAGGGTGTATCAAATAAGCATAACATATCCAAATCCAGTGCTTAAAAAGAAATTAAGGATTTTACTTCTTTTTCTTAGCTCTCCTCCCATTGTGTATTTTGAAAAATCACTCAACAGGAAGGTAGTTTATATTGCCAAGAAGTAAAATGTGGATTTTACCAATTGGTCTACAGGTAACAACTCTCCTTCCACCCACCCCAAAAAACCCTTTCCACATGACTTTATCCAACCCTTATGTCTTCCTCATTTTTTTTCCCCTCCTATCTGTGCTAACATTTACTCAGAAATTTATGTGCTACTTAAAGATTGTTAGCAAAATCAACCCTGTGTGAAAAATAAACAGCATCAGCATCCAAAATGACGGGTGGTAGTAATGGATAAAAATTAAGAGGATAAAAACCTGTTTCAAGACTGATGTTTGTTCACCTTAATAAATTTTTCCTACAAAAACTTAATTACATCTTGGGTAATCAGAAATTCTTCTAATATTTCAAGATTTTTGCTATTTCCATATAATATGGACCCTACCTCAAGTTATCATATCTAGTTGCACCCTTCATCTGTCACAGCTTAAACTGAATCCTATTAACCTTGTATAACTGTAACTGTATGCAGTTAAGCCTGTCAAGACTAGAAGAATTTAACCCTTTTTAAGAGAAATAGGATCAAGTCCCACAATTGTGGCGATATAAAACACTTTATACTACCAAATAAAATCATGTATAGTTCAACCACATACCTGCTTGGAACCTTTCCTGGAAGTAAAGAAAGCATCACAGTTCTTCCAACGACATTTTAAAGTCTGAAAATTTGGGTTGGTATGGTCAGTTAGCAAGTGTTGTTTCAGATGGTCCACAACTCCGAAGATCAACGAACATCCATGCCACTGGTAGAAAAAACATGCCAGAATAAACCAGAGAAAAAGAATTCTACCTAATGCTTTTTTTCTTGCAACTTCACAATATTCTGCCAAGACTGTTCACACACGTGCCACCTCTTGTAATCTTTTAATCTTCATATTCCATTTCCATTCTCAATGGTCTCTGTTTACAGCTGAGTAGAGCTTTACAAAAATTCTTCCTACCTCTAGCTTAGCCTAGACCACTAGTAAGAAAGGCAGGAGGAAGAGAAGAACCAAGTCTTTTCAAGATTTAAGCTTGTCTGAGAGAGTCATTGGTAATTTAATTAAACTTCTTTAGCATGCTAAAGAGTAAATCAGTTTTTTGTTGTCACTCAGCTGAAGTTTTTGATGTCACTATCTAAAAACTGCCAGGAAGAAAGATAATTTAAGATGCTACTAACACCTTGCCCCAAAGCATACACATATACTAAAGATCATGAAAAATGGACCTAGTGATATAGATACTTACACTGAAAACATACATATACTTTTTAAAAATACTACTGACTTATAGTAAAGGTCAAACTATCCAAGAGTGAGTAGTGACAACCCCCAGAAAATTAGCCTAAAAACTATAACAAACAAAGGCTAAAACCATTTTGCTCATTACCCAGCAACGATAATTCTGCATCAGATTAAGCCTCACAGCTCTGACACTGCCATCATAGCATCCAGTGTAGATCTGTAAAAAGAAAACTTTACGGATAAGCAAGATGGGAATAATAGGAAAAAAATATTCAAATCTTAAAGGAGGCTTCAGTGTAGAGTGTATTAGGTGAAAAAAAAAAATCTAATACCAATAGGCAAAGCTTCTAAATTTAAAAAATAGGTCTAACCTCATTATTTTAAGATTTGCACTCATAATTTACAAAAAATTACTAATGAATAACGAATATTTCCATAACTTCTATTGTGAAAGTATCATGTGTATAAAAGTTCAGAAAACTTTAAAATATGTTACTATCCACTAAGAGAAAAAATTTTAGGTGTAAATGTCATGTTGAATATATTTCCAGGACTTAGCCATTTACATGTATATTAAAAAGGAATGGAGAGGAAGGATGAGGAAGAATATCAGAATTTCAGAAAGAGAAGACTATGCAGATCCTGAAGAGGTAGGCAAAATGGTATTTTAAAAAACACTTCTGTCAGACAAATGATCCACACAAAATTGTCTTTCGGAAAGCAAAGCATGTCAGACATTCAACTTGATTTTTGTGGCTGATATTTCTAACTTGTTCTTAGTCAGACAGAAGGTTGATTTAATTATCTGAAAAAATTAAACTGTCTTATATATGCTTGTGGAAATTACAATCTTTTCTTTGAGACCAGTGAAAAGAAGGAAGTTACCATGCTCTTATGGATGGTCATACACATGATCATATCTGTGTGGCCTCCGTAGACTTGCAAGCGGTCATGCGACTTGAAAGAAACAGAAACAGACATTTAGTAGCATGACAGTTAACAGTCCTTTTTCCGAGACATGCAAATCACAATGCTTCCAAGAGCAGTTTCTTGGGTAACTAAACTCCTCTGGTGGTTTCCAAACTTCAGTTACACCATGAAAGCTCATTTCTGATTACATTACTTCTGTGATTCTTTTTGTCCAAGTAAGAACTTTCAGGAAACAAAATTAGTATTTCCTCACTTCTCTGAGCTGTCATTGTCTTAGAATAACCCAGGGTCTAAAAAAATAAATAATCATTTAGATTATATTCTTTAAAACCCATGTATTCTGGCTTGTGAGACAAATATATGTATCAAGTGACAGGAAAGAGAGGGATGGGCCAGAGACCAGTAAGCACAAAGATTACTTCTATTTGTTTCAAAATAATCAACACATACTAGGTAAATGTCATTAGTAACCATCTATCTTCTTACCTGTAGTTCATAAACACGAACAAATTTATCCAGACATGCTGTCACCATCACTTTCCCAAGAATGTTCACAACTGTTACTGCATGGTTATGGCCTTTATAGATCCGTACCAGCTCTCCAGTCTGCATCAAGGAAAAGCAAAGGCAAATAGGTGTTCATGGGGTTTTTTTTTAAAAACACAGCAAAACAGTTTTACCTAACCTGGGTATAGGGTGGCTAGCTAGCTTCAATGGTCACTACTAAAGAAATGGAAGTCTAATAAAAGTGTTTCCATTTCCTGTGAAGGCACTTCCAGACTATGATCAAATACCACCTACCCTTTTCTATGCCTGTGTTTGTAGTAATATTTGCAAAAGCAAGATCCCCAGATAAAAAGGCATTGCATATTGTATTACAAGAGTCAGCATGTTTATGTATCCTCTGCATGCATCATTAGTTAGCTATAGTGCATAGTCACATTAACAAAATCATATGTCTTCCTTTCCTGGAAGCAATTTGCCTCACCGGTCAGTCAAAAATTCTGGAAATACTGATTTTATAGCATAGGAATTCACTGCCTTAATACCAAAACTCATTCCAACTTTATAACATGAGACTTACATGAATGTTGTGAGCATGGACAGACTGATCACTGGAGCCACTGAAGACCAGATCATTCACAACCTTACAAAAAAAAGTTTTACTCTCGTTACATATATGGAAAGAGGCAAGCAAAGCATTAAGACACTGTTGAGTTTAAAGTTGTACTGTAGTATTTCCTAAATTTGACAGTCTTAAAATCAATGAAGCCTATTAAAAAAAGGCATGCACCGAGTTCTTTACATAAGAGCTAGAAAACATATTATGCTATCCTAATGATGACATTTCACAATTGACATGAGAAGCTGTTAACCTACAGCCCATCAGGCTAATGCATCCTACTTACGAACTATTGTCAGCAGCAGCCGCTCAGCAGCAGCTCACAGATCAAGGAAACTGAATACAGAACACTGCTCTGCACACACACAGTAAAGCCCATCGTTTTCTGGAAATGTCAAATGTGCTGTGTACTTATACTCTGGTCATGTAAGAAAGACGGTGTTCCTGACAAGTACTAATCTAGAAAGGATCAAGAGGGATCAAGAAGGGACCACAGTATGCTGCCATGCAAGCATGACTAGGATAATCCAAAGGGCAAAAATGGCTGTTCCACTGCACTATAATATCTAACACTAAATATAATTTATGGAAGAATACATCTAAATACAATTTATGGAAGTCATCCCCTATCTGTTACATGACAGTGGTCACAGCAAAGCAGTCAGACAAGATATGTTCCAGTGTCTAATCTCAGGAGTCAGGAATCTGTGAATCAGTGTTAGTGATTCTTTCATTAACAAAAGACTACTTCTCTAGAGTTAGATTTTTCCCAGTTTCCTCTGAAGTTTGTACCATCAGGATACATGAAAAGCAGCTTCAGCTTTTCTTCTACTTTTCCTCTGTTAGCAAACTCACATTTCAAGATTCCCTGAACCTAATCACATGAAATAAACATGCTTCCTACATACACATCCCCAACAGTTTTGCTAGGAACATGAGATATGACAGCCAACCAGAGGCAATTTTCCTACTGAATTACTCAATTTTTATTAAAGATAGAAAAATCCTCTACTTCCTACCACAATCTGCTCACTATTAGAGAGGGAAGGAAGAAAACCCATGTGATTTTAACCCTTCTTTGTCAAAACCATATTTTCAGAGACACTTGCCTTCATGCAGAGTATAGTCTTGCTGTGACCTTCCAGGGTTCTGAGAAGCAGCCCGTTCCGTGCATCTCGCACGCTGATGGTGCAGTCGTAGGAACCCACTACCAGCAGCTTGCGTGCTCCTTCCTGAGCTGTGGCTAGACAGCTCACTGCTCTAGGGCCATGGCATTCAAAGGTATCAAGCTGCTTGTTGTTCTGTTGGGGGAGGAAAAAATAGCATTTAAGAATTAGAACTTTGCTATGACACTGACTAGACCACAGAGTCCTTTTTGTGTTCTACTTGTTAGAACATCCGATTTCAGTTTATAACACACCATTTCAGCAGCGGTAAGAGTTGCATCTTAACAACTAAGTTTCCAAATCAAGCAAATCACTCCTATGTTAGGCTTCCATTTTCTGTCTTTTAAAAGATATTTCATTACATCAGTAAATCCTCCATCCACAAACAAAGAGAGGAAATAGTGTTACGTGAAAGACACAAACCAGGATAAATGTATAAGGATAAATTTTAGAAATTAGTCTAGAATCCATGAAAAGAATAATCAGAAAAATTATTTAAATAATGTTTTTTATTCACTTTTAAATATCATGGAGGCTGCTGATTAAGCCCCTTTGCCAGAAAGTCATGTGAATGAGTCTCTTCTATAACTGCAAATGGAGTAGGCAAAACCAGCAACACATTAAAGCGTCTCACACTTTGGGCAAGAAAGGAGGATTAAAAAATAATCAATCAACAGTGTCAGAAAACTCTCATGACACATGACTGGTAGGCCAGGTGGCACCTTAAGGAAAAACATAACAATAATACAGCAGTCAAAAGAAAGGTAACTGGAGGGAACGGGAGGTGGGACAGCTTCGTGCACTGACAAAATAAAGGTCCAAAAGGGGTCAACAGCAACCATTCACACCAAAATACTTTACAAATACACTTACTACTCAAAATAAAGATTGGAAAGAAACACAAAGTGGAGAGATATAGGATTGCAACAGGCTTTGAGGTGCCAATCTTTAAAACAAACTAACCTTTATGCTGAAGGTAACCACGCTGCCATTTGCAAGGCCTGCATAAAGGATCCGCCATCTACTGTGTAAACAAAGCACTCTATCTTCCAATTTAAACTGTTCCATGCACTCTTTGGACTGGCAATAGAAAAAAAAAGCATTTAAAGCTTTTCATTAACTGGAAATGCAGATTAAAAAAGCCTGAAGTGAATGATTTTCACTTACAAGATGCATTTTCACCTGTAAGCTGCATTTTTTGAACCAACAGAGCTGGAGAAAAGCATCTGGAAGTCTGGTGTCACATACCAGTTTGATCCTGGTATTAATCAGCTCATTTCCATCTCTGAAACTTAACTGTACTTCAGCAACGAGTAATAACCCTAAACACTTTATTCTAGTGAAAATCTCTAACATATATAGAACTTTAGACTACAGAGAAAAATATTACTTTACATGCCTAAGTTTGAGGAATCCCCATGAAGACCCTCACAGGGAAGTGCCATGAATCATGAGCTTAAGAGTTAAAAACCTCTGACAGTTTTCCCCTGAAGCAGATATTTGCTTTCTAGTCCTTCTAGCCACAGGTTGGACAAGCCTTCCTATCATTTATCCTTAAGAGCGCAGCTTCAGGAAGTCTCAGTTTGCTCTTCCAGATGCCCTCAGGATACCTGTTCCCTCCAAAGCTGCTCTACAAAGAGAGCAGTGCCTGCCATAAGCAATGAAGTTAGAAATACAGCAAGGCAAATACGATATTCATGGCCAGACAACCATCCTACACTTCAGTTTCCAACATTCAGAATCCTGTCATGTTGTTCTGGCAAAAACTCTGCAGACAAACTAGCCCACATATTAGGGTAGCAAATCACTTAATGGTTTGCTGGTTTATGGTTTGGAGGTTTTTTTGTACCCCTGCTCCACTCTAATGAGGTACAAAGTGAGGCTCATATGGGTTTAAAAGGCTTTTTTCATCTATATTTGCAATGAAATAGTTGCATAAAAATGCAGTATATGTAAATCAACACAGAATTTGAGTACCTTAATATTGTAACAGTTGATAGTGTGGTCACTTGAGCCAGTGTAGAGTGCAGCATTCTTCCCATTTGTCTGAGTGACCAGGAGACAGTTCACTTTTGAAGTATGTCCTTCAAAGATGGCCACACACTTCCTGCTCTGAAAAGGAAAGCATAGGGTCCATCAGCATAAAGCCCCATCATGCCTCTCAGGATCTGCGCCTGAGCGTAGGGTAGGACAGCTAACAAAAGCATGCAGCAATATCTCTCCCCTTATTCCTCTCATAGGGAGAAGGGATTAGGGAGGGTGAGAAGAGTTTTGAAGAAAAGAATAACATAAAAAAAATTAGGCGCTTGAAAAAGCAGTTGCTTCCTTAACTACATAGTAAGGCTTTATAAAAACAGAATTGCATCCCTGTGACTCCAATTAATGTAACACCATTCCCACAGCTTTACTTACAACCAGACTGTAGGCACAAACAGTTCTGTCCGCTGAGCAGGTATACAACAAATTCCCAAAAATCTGAATAGCATTCACTGCAGCCAGGTGTCCCTCAAAGCTTCCCTCTGTAGGTTCTTCATCCTCACCTGGCTCCGAAGACACTTCTGCATGACAGACACACATGTACTTTGATTACAAGAACACACTCAACTATTGTATGGGCTCAGCACCTTAAAGTCAGATTTCATTGTGGCATCTAGCTGGAGCCTGTAAGTGGCAGAAGGCAATATAAAAGGCCAGGAAGACCTTTATGTGATGTTAAGTCCAGAATGATCTTTAAAACAGCAGAACAATTGTATTATTATTTGTCCTACAGCTCTTCAGAGACTGTGGAGCAGAAGTGTTCATGTGGGAGGGGGTGGGGGGATGTGGAGGTCAAGGCACAAAGCATTCAGTAAGAGATGACGTAAGTGAGTATGCATCTCTTCCCACTTCAGTTTTTAGTGTAGCTTTTGATCTTCAGGGCAAAATTCCCCTCTAGAAGCACTTTCTCAAGACCTGCAAGATACTATACACAAAGTATCAGAAGAAAAGCTTAAAATACATACCTGATGAGTTCTTTGATCCTCTTAGTGATGATGATATGGAAGTTTGTGTCTCAGCCACACTGTAACGCAAAAATAAAAGAGTAGTGAGATTGAACTTTGCATGTTCATTTTCAGACAAAATACTGGTGTAAGACTCCAGAACAAGACTCTGCATTTGGTAGAAAATAGGCTGTGACAAATAAGCTCAAAACCAAACTTTCCATGGAGGGCAGCCTTGTTTTTCTATTAGAAAAATTAGTAGGTAACAAGACACATTCAGTTGTTGGATGAAAAAAAGCAAATTCAATTTTCAATCTCCCTCTTACTCCCTCCTGAATAAAATTAAAAGTTACTGATGTTATAAGAGTTTCTGAGTAGAGTAAAAAAATCAGAAGACAGGTCTGTCATAATTACTGGATAATACTTTTGAGAGATCTACAGTCTCACCTTTTTTTCACATCATCCCTATAATTTGTGCCAATCTCACTGGTAGAGCTCACTTCATCATAACCAGAGCAAGACGTTCCTAGGATTGCTTGATCCACAGAGCCACGTGAATGCCTCTTTGATGGACTGTCTGGCTTTTCATCTCCTGACTCCGATGAACCAACATCAACCACCTCACATGGGGGTGCTGGAACTTCCACCAGTTTCAGAGAAGCATCACTATCATTCTCCTCTTTGGTTCTTGCTGTTTGAGCCATAGCTCCATCCTCCTGTCTTGGAGGAGTGGATGTAGTAACCTTTTCTCCTTTGGGAACCTTTCCACCCTTGACTTTCCGGGCAGGCTTAGAGTCAATTATATCCTGTTCTGTATCACTGTTCTCTGGCACGTGGGCTGCCCTCAGAGTTTTCTTCTTCCTTAACTTTCTCCTCCTCCTGTTCCCTTTTTCTGCTGGGACTACAGCGGTTGGCGTCTGTTGCTCGAATGGTTCTGCTGAAAGTTTGGGGCTTTTATCCATTGGCATTTCTAGAAGGACTGAATGCTTGGGAAGAGAAGGGCTACACTGATCCAGTAAAAAGCTTTCAGCCACTGTATCATTTTCTTCTTTCTTGCTGAAAACAGGCGGTGAATGAGGAGAAGGGTTTTCAGAAAGTCCAGCCTTTTCACTGTCCACAGCAGGCTTGTGAACATCTTGATCAGTGCGCTGGAAACAAGCTGCCAGCTCTGACAAGGATATGGTTGCAGAGATAACTGGATACACTGAAGTTTTCTGGTTGGTCTCTTCTGAAGAAAATAGACTAGTGTTATATTTGATCTGTACAGTAATAAATATTTATGCAAAATTGCTTTCCCTGCGTTTTTCTGTTTATACCTAATTATGTATGTAAAGTACATATTCCTACATGTTGAAAGCTATGCGCATATGCAGACCTACTATTTCAGTCAGTTATCCAGCCTTTAAAAACATAGCTGGGGAATAAAATGTTTATCTGTGTCTCCAGAAGCAAAGGAATGGGGCACATCATTCAAGCTGCTGGCTGACTGTACATTTTTAAAGTTCTGACAAACAATCTTCGGTGAATCCTACATTGTCAGCTTCAGATGCTGCCACCCTGCACTGTATGCTCCCTTACCAGCTGTCACCACTGTCCTAGGACTGGTATCAACCAGTGCACACCTATTATGTCTCAGCTGCTCGGTGACAGTTTGAAGACCTTGTGCTTAACCCATCTGCATTAATTATTTCTACCGGGTTACTTGGACCTAACTCAAGGTAGAGGAGTCACACACAACCATAGTTATGGATGGGAATGGCAGCACTGTAAACCATCAGGGTAAGTTCTGTTAGTTCATCTGTGGTGGACTAAGTGATGGGGCAAACATTCTGCCTATCATTTTAATTTGAAGCTAATACGATCAAATGAATCCAGCCTCTCAACTGAGAGCAGCTAAGAGCGTGCGCAGCATCTCACAGTTGTGTTTCCCACACCCTGAAATTCTCCGGTTGCATTTGCAATAACTACAATCCAGAACAAGACATTTAAAGTTCACTGCATTTATTGGGTGGAATCCGTCAATACAAATGGGAAGTTGACAGTATTTGAAACATTTGGTTCGGTCTCTTAGAAACCAACAAGTTAAACCTACAGCAATGCTTGGACAAAGCTACTGGACTGTTTAACAGATCACAGTACAAACTTGACCCTCTGGAATTATGCATCCAACTAGAGACATCTTAAATGTGAACATCTCGCCCCACACCCTCTTCAGGTGGGAAGTTCCAAGATAAAAACTAAAACTTGCTGACAGCGTAGGGTACATTGTATTTAAAGTAAATCAATGAAAAACTGTTCTTCCCCGACCCCTAACTGTCATACACAGCTTCAACCTGTTAGAAAACGCTCTATACAGAAAAAACAAATGCTTAGACAAGGTTTGAACAGTTATTGTGTTGAATTATACTGGGTAGAAAGCACAGAAACCCTTAAATTCTGAATACACCTGTAGTATTGTGCATCCCTAATTTCCCAAAGGAAGGGAGAGCTAAGGAACTTGGTCACTTAAAAACAAAACAAACAGGAAAATACAAGTAACTGGCAACTTAAACTGAAATTTCTAAAACCAGAAGTTATTAATTCTCAGCACTGGGGAGTACTGCAGGTGTTAGAAAAGGAAGCAGGACATCACCAGGGTAATGAAAGAAAACAGAATCACTCAGTTCTGCAGATGGGAGAGACTGTTGGTGGTTAGGGGAAACCAAAGGCAATCAGCTCCTTCAAACCAAGGCTGAGCTGACCTCCTAGGGAGGCTGACAAACCAGATGTTCAACCACCAGAAAGCAGTCTGCCCTCAGAGAGAATTCCTCTCCCCCAAATTACAGGATTTACCTCATGCTAAATGCTTATTTCCTCCCCAGCTTACCAAATTCATTTGATGGCAGACACTCATTTCAGATGTAGCACATACAGAAGCTGATCAATACCAAAACCACACTGATTTGACAAACAAACATCAAAAGAACATGTTTGCTTTTAATATGTCAAAAATGTGTGTAGAAAACTGACAAATATGCTAATGTGATGAAGACATTTTCAAAGTATTTAAATAATAAATACAGCTATACGTTTAAGGTTTCTTTATGAGAAAAATCTAAAAAACCTCTTCAGCTTCTGCTGTGCCTGTGCAGACACCAATAAAGTCTGAAGATTCTGCAAGCAGGGCGCTTCATGCCACTGCAACTAGTAATCACTAAATCTTCATTCTGAGTTTTCCAACTCTAACATTAAAGAAAAATGACACCTCTCTTCACTGATGTTTAAACATAATGCAATGGCACATGACAATAAAAATGGGAAAGTGAAGGAAGAGTAGGGAGTAGTGGCTTTCTACAAGTTCAGTCTTATTTTCTTAAAGCTAGTTCTCTTAAACAAAGATAAGCCATACATACCATCCTTCTGCTCTACCTCTTCTGCTCGTGAAGCACACTGAGAGCTCTGGAGTACACAATTCACATTTTCTGAGCCTTGTGGAGACACAGGTTCTCGTTTAACATGTACTGAGGAGTCAGGAGGAGCAGCAGGTATGATGGCAGAAGATTGGAATGGTGATGGCATGTTTACATGAACAGAAGCTCCCAGTGAAGGTACAGAAGACGACAAAGTGTCCAAAAGGGGCAGGAAAGAGCCTGCAGGAACTAGCTCAGTCACCATCTGAGACTTGGTATTTCTTCTCTCACTTAAGACACTGCAGGAAAGTTGCTCTGACAGCTCAGAAGGTTCATACGTTTCTAATGGCAAAAGGAGACAAAAACAAAAACCAAAACCAAACCATAGAACTAAAGTGTTCACATTTTACAGTAAAATTTAGTGGTACCAAGAGCTCATTTCTTGTGGACACATAGAGAAGGAAGAGAAAAATTTGTAAAAAAACGCTAGAGGGCCCTACCAAAGATGACAGACCACATTCAACAACAAACACATCAACCTTGAAAGCTTACAATTTTACTGAACATTTTAAACGAGTGAATCCAAGTTAAATGCAAGTTTTACAAGATGCTAAGTTCAAAGAATATGAGAGTCAGCATTCCACTGTTGTAGTTTCATGGTATTCCATACCTTGTAGCCCCTGCAAGATCTGGATTCTCTGACTTCTCAGTGTACTCATTTCCATGGTTATCTGCAAAACAGTTGTGATTTAAATCAGTCCTACTTAAGGCAGTTTTCCAGGCTGCTAAATTCTAGTTCAGAGAGTCTCAAAAGGCCACATTTACCTGTTGCTTTAATACAAGGAACCGTTGAACCTCAACATACGCAGCCTGCAGGGCAGCCCTAGCCTGCAAGAGACTGCTGTCCACACTATGCAGGGACTTGCTTAGCTCTTCTTCCCTCAGTGAAATAGCCAACAACTGGTCTACCTGAGAACGTTCTGAAAAAGAAACAAAACAGAGTATAATTGTGCTTGACAACTCATTAAAATACATTACATGTGATATCTCAGCAAATACTACCAGCTCAGAATATAAAAATCATATAAATTAGGTCAAGCACCAACAGTCTAACAAGAAGTTGAAAACGAATACCTATTCACAGGAATAGCCATGTCTACACGAAAGAGAGCAAAGTTCAGTATTCCTCTTTACAGGATCTCAGCCTTGACTCTAGTAACTACTTCCATCATAGCTTTGCCAGCACTGATTTAGTTAGTTGAACAAAGTCATTCTCTTCCACCAAGATCTTTTCTTTAAGTACACATGTACATAAAGTACAAAACCACATTTTCCATTAACGTAATCAAAAAGGTAGAGGCAAATTTAAGCTAAACAAGATTTAAATTATTCAGATATCCTAGAAGCCAAGGAAAGGCAGCTTAAGAGATACCAACAATAAAAAAATTAGTTACTACCCAGGATGATTTTGGGCCATGAGATTCACATTTGCAATCTCTTGAGAAAAAGACTGAGCACTGCACTCAGTAGAAGATCCTCCTATACTACTTTCTAAAGTCTTCTGGCATTACACAGATCCTCCAAGCAAATTAAGTTTCAGTTTGAGCACTGCTTAGTTTCATTCAGGTTATAGTATCCTTCAGTAGATTTACTACAATAATGATGCTGCTGAAGCAAAGTAATGGGAAAGAGAGATTTTACTAAGTTGAATGTGTTATTAGTCTCCGTAATAGACACTAGTCATTGAATACAGAGGCTGATAAAAAACACCACCTTTTCCAGTAGGAAATATTAGTTCCAACAAGAAGATCCATAGTATTTTCCCCGCACTCCAAACAACTATTAATATAAATAATTATAAAAAGAAAAATGGAACATTTGAAAGCTATCTTCTGGACCCCAGAATTCCCAGAAGGTGATGCAAGGATGTAGTTCCTGAAGAAAACATTCTGCCTAGAACACAGATCATTCATTTTGATGCATGGTGATGTGGATGTGTTAGGGATGTTTGAGAAAGACCTGCCTAATGCCAGAATAAGGGTTTTCTTTGGTCAGGAGCAGGAAGTAGTGAGGCATTCCACATTCATTTCTGTTAAGGGCAGGGAAGGAGTCATCAAAAAAAAAAAAAAAAAGTATTGCCGGAGATGTCAAAACCAGAACACAGCCCAAGTTATGCAGAGTACAAGTTTTCTAGTGAGACCACCCAGAAGTAGAAAGGGAAAGTTGCATGGCTGAACTAGAAGGGAGCGATGAGTGCTTCTCCCTTCAGAACTTCCATCTGAAGAGGAAACAAACTTCTCTTCCGTAAGCAGGAGAAAGCAAAGGTCATCTCTCTGCAACCAGGAACATGAGCTGAAGGCAGAAAGAAGGCACAAAGTCTTCTCTTAGAAATAACTTCTGACAAATTAAGATGGAACTCTTCAGAGAAAGATGTGGTGCAGATTTGAGAGCAGTCTATCCTATGATCTTCAGTAAGAGCCCAAGAAGCACCAAAGTAACATTAAGGAATCACCATTTTAGCCAAGACAAAATACAACTAGGTATTTATTTATAACCTCTACACCAGATTTACATAGTATGATATACACTCACCTTTTTTACCTTTGATTTTTCTTCTCTTATTCTTTCTTTCTAGACTAGGAATTTCAGGAGAAGATCCCTCCTGCAAGTAAAATAATTTATTAACAAAAGTTACAAGAGGAATTTTGTCCAAATTGAAAAGTCAAACAGTGGTCTTTCCAACCAGTACTTGTACCCACAGAGAACAATACACAATTAATTTTACACATTCTCCTATAACTCATCCTTCCCTCTGCCCTTATGAGGGAGGGCAACAAAGTAAGAGGGATGTTTTCATCCCAACTAGGAAGAAAAATTAAATAAGCTGACAACTTTCTACTTGCTCAGATGTTTAAGACCACACTTGGATCAGATTTTGTGCTCTACAGTTTTAGTTGAACATTTATAGGATTAAATCAGTAAAGAACTAAAATTACTGCTTTCTGCATATGCCAAAACCATTTTGAGGATTTCAGCAAAAAACATTTTTTTCCCTTCTTTGGGTAAGTCCAAGATAGGACAGTGAAACAAATTCAGATTTAGGGACATCATTTTAAGTATATAATTTTGTAAGAAGGGTTGTCTTTCCTTGCTTGACCATAAAACCAGGAACACCCAAGGAAAACAAATTTCTGCTACAGCCTAGCTTCCATTTAAGTTGGGAAACACCAAGATTCTTTCTTCAACACCAAGAACTTCCATGGAAATATTTAATAGCTCTCATTTACCAGCATAGCGTGCCAGTTAACAAATCAAAATTAAAGAGCATTTGCCATTCATACTAATTAAAAAAAGATTAGGCAGAAGTCCTGCACTACCAAGGCAGAAGCAGAAAAGATTCTTAAAGAAAATTCAGTCAAACAAGCAAATTAGTTTGAGGCTATCCATGTACAAGACAATCAAATGGAGAAAGTCATCCTTGCAGAGATCATTTCAAGGTTGGATGACCATTGACAGGGGAAAAAAAAAAAACATGTTTCAGTACACCAAAGCTGAACAAAATTGCACACTTACTCCAGTTGCTCTTCGTTTCTTTCCAATTCCTTGGCTGTCATTCTGCTCAGTACCAGATGTGCAGCTACTGTCTGTAGCTGCATCCACGTTATTAGACACTGCAAGAAGTGAAGCATTAGTTGAAGCTGAATGATTTTCTTCTGAGATTTCTAGTACGTTTTGTTTTTCAAGAAGAGGTATTCTCTTCTCCGGGCTCTCCTGGTCTTGTTTTGTGAGGCCTGTGACCTCAGAGGTGGCTTGTAGACTGTGTCTTCTTCCACTAGTCTCAGTTCTTTCCGACATAAATGGTGACAAAGGAAGAGAAGATGTCTCCTGTTTCAAGTCAGCCTCAATGTCAGCACTTGTCTTGCACCCAGATGTTACGTGATGTGAGTGGTTAGCTGCAATTATTTGCCTTTGCCCACTTTCATTTATTTTGGCTTGTTCACTGAAGAAGCTATAAGCAGAAGGATTTCTGTCTGCAATGACGCTGCTTTCAGAAAAGCTACGTTTTCTGGCTGAGCCAGGCACTGCTAAGGAAATTCCTTCCCACTGGAATCCTTCCAGAGTAGACAGATCAGATTCTTCACCAAGTTCTAGACCCTCTTGCTCATTTTGTACAAGAGGCACCATTTCTATGCCAAACCTTTAAGATAATAAAAAAGAAAAATACACACACAAGTAACAAGCCAGCTAAATCCAGAAAAGAGCCTCCCTTTTCCCCAAATGCACATTACTTCTGTAAGAGATCTGGCAGTTCATTACACTGGTATTCTGTGCTTTCTGTCTCATCTGGCAATGGAATCTCTTTTGTGCATCACAAAATTAGATTTAGTGGTGAGGAACTGAGAGCATGATTTCCAAGTCAGAAATCATGTTATTGTAATTATTTAAAATCAAGTTTGGAACAAGCAAATATAACATCTTTTCAAGACACTTCAAAAACTTCAGGTTTAAAGAAAGTTTCAAACATGAAGTATTATATAATTGCTTCCTCTAAACACAAAACCAAACTGCATATCAGATTAAAAGATTAACAAATGAACAGGGAGCATTTATTCTCCCTACAGCAATGCAAGTATTTGTTGTAGTCCCAAGTAAATGAAGAAATAAGCAACTGTCACAGCGCTGCTCACATCCTGATCGCATTTTATATTCTTCCACTTACTTGAACTTGAAAAGCAAATATACTGCTAGTGTCCATATTCAGATACTAACCAACTGTTATGAACTGATCAGAATCTTTTCTCAGCAGCAGAATACTATTATCTATAGATAGACATTCACAGCAGCAAGCAATCATAAAACCTAAAATGTTAGTATATGTAAAAGATAGTGGTATAGCAAGCTTCCTTCTAAAGTCTTAATTCTAGGACTAAGGAATTCATTTCAGATTTGGAGAAAAACAACCCTCCCCCCTCAACACGCTGAGAGAGGCATGGTTAGATATGAAAGCTACCAACCTTGGTAAACCTTTGCCAAGTTCCTGTTTCTTCTTGGTTACCTGCTGGATGACTTGATCCCAGTTTACATTTCGCCGGGAAGCACTAAGAATCTGCCTGAGGGTGGGTTTAAGCCCCGACTCCTTCTCAGTCTCACTTTTCCGATGGCCGCTCACATTCCGAATGCGACGTGCGTTATTGAGATTGGGCTCTGGAAGATGTGTCCCAACTTTGCTCTTCAGACTAATATGTCGTGTCAGGTCTCTTTGCAGAGAGGCAGGAAGGCCAAGTTTACTTAAATCAGGAAGGAGGCCTAGTGACTGGCTTCCTCCTTTTTGCAGCTCATGATCTGAAGGATTTTCAAAACCTTCCATTTCAAAGTGATCGTGTGACTTGACTTGCTCTTCATCCCCTTCTCCATCCTGTGAGGAGGTTTTCAAATCCACAGTCAAATGGTCCTGACCACTTGATGGAGAAACTGTGGATTCCATCTGAAACATAGAATCTTTTATGTCAGCAGAAGCAATACTTGAAGGAGCTGGCTTTTCATCATCTTCCTTTTCAGAGGTGGCAGGTTTACCTTCTGGAGTATCACAGGGTAAGCAAGAACTAACAGAAGAACACAACTTTTCAATTCTTACTTCTGACTTCTCACTTCCTGTTAAATCATCATCGCTTACATCTTCTAATAAATCTAGTCTGAACTCACTCTTTGGCAATACTTTCCCAGTTTCTTCCCCATTCTGGTCAGCTGTATCCTTGCAGGAGCTTAAGGTAATATTTTGCAAGGAAGGGTTGGACTGAACATCTTTGGGGTTTTGTTCCGCTTCACTTAAGTTATTAATAGGCTCTACAAGATTTCTACCAAGCACATCTTTGTTGTCTTGTAAGTTCCCAGGACATGCACCCTTCAGCTTCGATGAATAAGAGGAGAAACTGTTTGTTTCCAAGTTCAGTGCATTCAAATGATTCTGCTCTTTGTCTCTAGTTGAGGATAACAGAAGCCTGACATTTTTTAAGAGACTGTTTGTGTCTTGCTTTGGGGAAGGTAACTTCACATCTGTGATATTCAGAAGGGGGGATTTCAGTGATGGCATCTTATTACTTCTGCCATTGTCTTTGTCAGGCTTTTCACCACTGGAACAGTCTTTCATTACCTTGCAAGAATCAAGGTGATCTGAGGTTATATTACAAGGGGAAGATGCTTCACATTTTTTAAGTTTTGCAAGGCTAACATTGACTTCACAAGTTTTTCCTTTCATTGATGAATCAGTAAGAGGCAAAAATACAGAACCCATTTTATCTGGACTTTTAGAAATGTTATCTTCAGACTGTGGTTGCTGCTCTGCAGCTTTCTGGGATGGATAGGGAGTCCAGCGATACATTTTATCTCTGGAAGGACTGCCACTTTTTCCACTGGATCTTGAAATTTTGCTTTCTTGTTGCTTCGACATACCAAAATCCAACATACCCTCAGAAGGAAGTTTATCACTAGTAAAATCAAGCAAGTCACCCCTATTTTTTTGATCTCTGTATGGCAGAACATCAGTGTCTTTCTCCTGACGCTGCCATGCATATCTTTCCTTATTGTATTTATTTGGCTCTACTGAATATGCATCTCCCGAGTTTCCAAAAATCCAGCCATTTGCACCATGAGAACTAGATTTCCAGTTTCCTCCATAACTCTTGGAATTCCAGCTAGAAAAATGACTTGTTCCTTCTGAGTGCCAAGTAGAATTTCTCTCCCTGGCACCGTGATGCCAATTTGATTTTCCTTCTCCCCGCCCTCTTGCATGCCAAGCACTTCCAGAATTCACATAGTTATGCCGATTTGAAGAGCTTCCTGAAACGTTTTGGTGCCTCCCAGAGCGGCCCTTTGGGCCACCTGAATGTCTGTTTGTATTAAGGATCCTCTGAGAGTGTGAAAATTTGCCTTGTCTAGGACTAATATAATCATCCTTTTCCCACTTCCAGTCCCTTTGTGATGCATTATGATGATGCCATGATGACTGATCATAAGCTTCTCTTTCTTTGTAAGTACCTCTTTCTTCTCGCCTTCTCTGTGATCTCCTATCTTCACATTCTAATTCTTTGTTTGCACAGCCTGGTTCAGCTTGCCTACAAAACAATTGAGAAAAACCTAAATACTGATGTCATTCTATTGAAATCCAACAGCACACAAGCCTCATGCTTTTGCTTTTTTTTAATAGAAAGAAGCAGAGATAACTTTTTAGCTGCTTTACCATTCAGGCTTCTGTAGTGTTTGACTTTCAAAACTAATGTTGTACCTTTACTTAAATATGGTATTTCAAAACTGCTCTTAGAAGAACAACTGATTCAGTGCAGGGACAGTTCAATAGATTAATTCTTAAGTATTTATGTAACTTGGAAGATAACATTCCTTTCTTTTTATTAGTTATTGGACTAATAAGAAACAAACAAAAAGGAAGCTTTCTGTTGTATAATTTTTGTAATTTGAGTAATCTTGATAGAAGAAAAATTAATTAGTAGTGAGATAATTATTTTTTTCTGAAAACTACTCTGATGGTGTAACTAAAGTGAACTGATACAAAACAGAAGGAAAGCCAGGCTGCGAAAAGCAGTTATTCTACTTAGTGGAGATCATGTCTCAGTTTATAAAGCTTAACTTAAAACACAGATGTAAAGCATCCACAGCAGTTGTACCTCAGATACAAAAATACAGTTCACAGCATGCAATACGGAGTCTGTATGAGCCTCCCAGAAGAACTGTCTACTGCCCCTTGGAGAGCACTTATGCTTGGCGACTTACCATGAACACGTGGTAAATTATCACATGTACATTTAAAGATAAATGCTACCTTAACACTGACAGCTATTCTCAGGGTCAGTCTAAACTCTCTAAGTATTTATTCTACCAAATGAGGAGTTTTTATTAAAATTTTTCCCAAAAATGGATTACAGAAATGCTTTTATCTGACATTACAGGAATACATTCATTCTAGATCCCTGGACAAGCAAGACAGGAAACTTTCACACTACTGCTCAAAAACAATTGATTTGAGTAAACTGAAAATTCATGTTGTACTACCATTTAAGTTTTCATCACATTCCAGTTTTGCTAAAAGATGCACAAATAATTACTCTCTAATGGGAAATGGCCTACTGCATAAGATAAAACAAGCTCTAGGGCAAGAATTCAAAGAAACTATGTCTAGGTGATACCTTAAGTTCTAAGAGCTGACTCAACTTGATTATGATCCAACAGAAACAATTTTGCTGTATTAGTAACTTAACCCATGTACTTCCTTTTTTTTCCACTCCCCAAACCAGTATCCAGCAGAGAGAGATTTTAATAAGATTTTAGTTGCCTCGCAATACAACTGTACTGACAGTACTACTCCTTTACCACAAAACCAGGGAAAGTGACATTGTTGCTACCTACATTGACCAACAGGAAAATATGACCAGCCCTAGTATGACAAAATGGTGTTAAAACCAAGTAATTTTGACAGATTTATGCACATGGAGATGCTAATTGAAACTTCCAGCCACAGCAAGCAAGAGCTTCTTTTAAAAAAAATCATATGCCCCCTTAATACCATCACCTTGCCATAAACGTATTAAAACAGTGTATTCCCAGCTGGAACACTGTATTAGTAGTGCACACTTGCAGAGTCACGTGGAATGTAAAAGCCAATACTTAATACTCTCTGCAGCCTTCTGTTTCACAGTGAGCCACAAGAATTATGTTTCGCTAATGGTAAGCAGTAAGATAGAACAGGTAAGAAATTTCATTCAAAGATTACAGGATTTCAGTGGGACATTGACTGAACAATCCAATTCATTTTAAAAACAGACAATTTAAACTTTTACCACAAAGCATGTTCAGCAACAGTTTCTAAAAGGCTCAGTTCCTACAGACACCCCCCATCCCAAACAATATTACACTACTGTCAGATTTATTAACTTTACCCCTTTCAGTTAAATGGGTCTCAAACATCAAAATATTAGGGCTCTCAATACATAGGATTCCACACTGGGGACTGTTTTTATCCGTAATAGAGAATAGTTGTACTTCCTCACTAGTAGTAGATCAACGCAACAAGAACATTCAGCAGAATCATATTTACATGTTGAAACTACAATATCTACACAGGTCTCCTTGGACTGTTCTCTTAAGTACACTAACTACAGGCAGTTGATATTTCATGAGGACCTAAGCCTTAGAAACGTATCCTAACTGTGTTAAAAGCAATTATATGACCTAAGTGGAGAGAGGAAAACTCACCGGTTCCGTTCCTTCTTTTGCTTGATTAGCTGAATAAGTTCTTTGTCAAAGTATTCTTCTTCTGCCTCTTCTTTCTCTTCTTCTTTTCTGTCATGGGCATCAACACTATCTTTGTGCAGCTGGCTGGAGATGTGCTTGGCATATGCTGACAAACCCACCAGTGTCACCCTGCACACCCGGCATTCGTGGCTGCTGTCCCTAGGAAGAGAGGCAGAGGGTGGACTTTCAACTCTGCCAACAGGCATGGCAGGTATCTCTGGTCTTACTTTGTTTCCTCTGAATGCGCTTGAGTTCAAGGCAACTAGGTTTTGCTCAGTATATTTAAGTTACTTGAATTCTTTGGCTTTTTCTTTCAAGGTCGAGTTTTCTGATGGTCAGTTTTTAAAAGATTTTTTTCCAACAATCAAGAGGTAAAAGACTTGATAATAAAGCTGTGTTAACTGGGAGGAAGAATTCTTCTTGAATTGTTGTACTCAAAATCTTTTCAGAGGAAACATAGTGAGAGAGGAGGCAGAGTGGAAGGCTTACAGAGCTAGCAGGAGCTGCTCTGAAGCCCATCCATGGTGCCAGCTGCACTGGGGAAGCCTGGTGACAGCTTCTACATTTAATCCTTGCCTTGAGCCTTCCCCCAGTGAAATTTAGAAAAGGGAGGAGGCAGAACATGGATACAGCCAATCCTGATACAACATAACCTAAACTGGGACAGCTGAGACTGCTGCCTGGAATCCAAAGACTCCACAGCACAGCGACTGATGGGAGGGTGTCTTCAGTTCACTGTACTTTATTTGGTTCAAGTGTGCATGAGGTCTGCTTTCTACTTTAGAGGACTTATCTTAAAAAAATACAGACATTATTTCAGCTGGAGGAAGTTGACAGCTGTGTCAGACAAATGGCTTTACTCATGTTTCAGTGAATATGGATGGAGGTTACAACTTTTGCTTTTCTTTTTTTAAAGAAATTCAGATTTCTAAAAATACCTCATTTTTTCTCATGACAAATCCTTTCAGTACTACACTGCTAAAGAAATACGTTGCCAATAATAAACCTAAACAAGGAAAATATGTTCACCAGTTAAAAAAAAAAAGTCAGAAAAAAAAAATAGTGAGAGCACAGTACACTGCAAGTAACTCATCAGGACCAAGTTAGGACTCACTGCCTGCCTCCACAATGCTTTCTTCAATTCTGCCATTTAATTCATAAAAGCAGATTTGTATACCCCCCTAGTGCACTTGAGATCAAAGACTTAGAATAGCATTATAATACCAACACATAGTTCATGACTGGTGTCAAAAAAAAGGAATCCATAAAGGAAAATGACAAACACAAACCCTTGTTTCATTAGAGAAAATTTAAAAATAAAAATGAGAAAAAGATCAAAAGATGCACCTTCACTCAAGGTATTAAGCCAACATCCTTATCAGAGTGATTAATGGAGTGTCAGCAGCTATATTTTATTTATCCTGGAAATCTGTGGTTTTTCTACTAACATAGTTGAGATATCTAACCAATGCTATCATTCAGGCACAGCTAGAGAGGAGTTTATTTTAAACAGACTAATTCATAATAATTACACTTTTAAATATTTAATTAGTATCAACAAATTTCTGATTAAACATTTGGATAAATTTCATTTACAAAGTCAGAAGCTTACAAATTTAGTCTCTGTTTTCCAGAGAGGAGCGTACTTGTTTTTGCACACTTCACACTCATTAACAAATATTTAAAGCCCAGATACTGTATGTTGTACTTTGGGTTATTAACCCAATAAAGACAACCAAATGCAATCAGTAAATTTTACTAATGTCATCAGAAGAATCCTCTCCACACTCATAAACGGCACACCTATGCATTGCTAATAAGATTTATTTTTAACTTGCGGCATCACACGAGGCAAACTGCTAACGGAAAGTTGGCTTCTTGCTGAAAAAGGTGTGTTATTTTTACATAACATTCCACTTCAATCATAAGGACACCTCAACAAGAAACATACCTCAGTGGTACTAATTAGGAAGAATTTGGATTGTTCCCTAAGACCCATATTCCATTTTTTTAAATAAAACTTTCATCGTCTTCTTTTACAGACTAACTAAATAAATGCAACTTACTTTGGACAAAGCCAGTGAGTTAGCAGCTGGCCTAAGGACAAAGAACTTGTTGCTATCACTTCTAACTTGCAAGGTATTAATTACAAAGCTGTGCCTCTTGTACCAGCTGAAAGTCTGGAGAGAAAAAGACTCAAGCATGTAGTGACTAGACTTCTCTGTCATGCTCTTAATCTATACAGACCTACAGGAAAAACAACACTTTTTTTTCTACATGAACAACTGCTTCAACTGAAGATCAACTGGCTAGGAGTTCAGATAGTTACACTTAAGGGAATGTAGAGTCCCTTCAGTTCTTTCCTTCCCCTATCCCCATTAATATCAGCCAGTTTTGACTACACTCCACAACACACACTGATCACACAAACACCACACCATCCTAGCTGTTCAACAAAGAGGCGAAAAGCAGTTTGAAATAAACATGAATAAAGTATTGTCAGTACAAAACCATCCAAGAACTTTATTTACTGAATGCATACTTAAGATGGCAGACTCAATGCTCCTTGTACAAGAGCATTATTTCACTTTCAATTTAAAAAAAAAACAAACCAAACAAACCAAATATAAAGCTTTGTACTTCACATACAATTCCCCTTATATATCACACTAAGACTTCAAGAGGAGGAAAAGAGCCTTCAAATGTTTCATAAAATTACCCCTTGAGATTACTAAGGTAACTTTAAAATGAGAAAAGCATGAACTAACATGTGCATTTCCTTTAGCTCTTCCCTCCAGGAAGTCGAAAAAGTGACTTCTAGTTGAATGTTATATTTGAAAGTAGTAAGATGTTGATACTACACATTTTGACAGTATTATCCTCTGTTACACAATTCAACCACACTCAAAAGGTTGTTGCTTGCACTTCACATTTTCTACTTGGAGTACCTTTTGCTTTACAAGGCTGTAAAACTCCTAAAAGATTTTTACTAAACTTAAATGGGAGGAAGAAGGAGAGGGGAAAAAAAAAACAAGGCTGCTGCTACAGTGAAAAATTAAGTTCATTATTTATTTTGAGAACACACATCTTCCATGCATTCTTCTGAATGAAGTAATGAAGACCATTACCTTAGTAATAGAAAATGTAATGACGATGAAACAGATTTAATTTCAGTCTTACGGTGATACAGAAATATTGAGAAATTAAGCACATGATTAATAAGATGACTAACAATATTAGGTTTAAGAATTGTCTGTTCAAGCTAAGGAACGTTAAGCTCTGGGAACAAAAACTCAAGCCCATGAAGACAGAGACAGAGGCCCAAGGCCAGAGGAGGTGAAACCATGGCAGCAGAACATAACAGGCATTTTTTGACCGAAATGACTGAGCCGAGGCCAAAGGGTGTGCAACATTTCCTAGATAAAAGAGGCAGCAAGCAGTACAGCCAGAAGAAACTGGTTCTGAGTCTTGGCACTGTCAAAACTGGGAAAAAGGTGACAAGAAAGACTACCGGCCTTCCTCCTGAAGACCCCCAAAGATGACCACCAGGAGGCAATACACAGGCAAAAAAGATCACATAAACATTCCAGAACTGCTGACTCAGGCCTTTTGAACTAAACCCCACCTCAGTTATGTATATCTATGTTTGTACTGTGCAACCCTATGAATATGTATAAGGTACCTGCATTTAAGATGTAACCTAAGGGGCTTGGGTGTGCACATTAGGTGGAGAGATACCCCGTTCACCCAGCACTGCAATAAAGAATGCCTGCTTTGTAATACCCCCAGCCTGAGTCTTAGAGAGTTCTTCCTCGACCGTCTTTTTCGGTATCAATGGAGAAAGAAACCCAAGAATTATCAGATCACTTGCAAGGCACTGCAGACACTATATATAACTTCTAGAAATTACCATTACCTTCAAGAATCATAAACTAATAAGAAAAAACAAAACAACAAACTTAGAAGGCCGGAAATAAATTGCCAAAATACATAAAATTTTAAGGTGATCTCAGAACCACTGTCAGAAGAATAAAGTCCAGAACGGAAATGCTCTACCAGTTAGCTGACCAGAAGCCCTAAGTCAGCTTCCAGTGCAGAGGACATTCTGGTTTCTGAGCAACCCCTTCCCAGCTGTTTGGTAACAGAACAAATCCTTTTCAGGCTCAGCAGAACAGATATCGAATAGCATGATGTGCTTGATACCAGGCACATTTTCAGAATGTTCCTAGCTCCCAAGACACAGTTGTGTGGGGCACAGCAGAGATGGAAACAAGATTACCTGGGTTTTTTCTGGTTTGTTTTCTTTTCAAGTAGCTGAACTCAGAACAAAAAAACACCCAAGAAATGTAGGGCTGAGCAAGGGATGGTAATGGCAGGAGAAAAGAAAAAAAAAGAAGAGGGTGGAAAATGTGAGTAATTTATGATTTTTATTACCTCCATCTTTACTACAAAGCAATTATTATTTGCAAAAAACCAAAACAGCTTCTGAAAAGTTGCTTTCATACATTTTCTCAATGTGACACAAGATTGTTAATCTGGACAACTTGAAGATTTTCTGAATCTTACTAAAACACATTTAGTTTCAAGAGGGAAAGATTATTTAATTTTCTGATATATTTTAAGATTTTGATAGTCCACACAACTGATGATGGAGATTCTGAAGATAGAAGTTCTTTTCCCAGTTTATTAACTTGCTGTGAAGCTCCAGACAAATTAAGCAAATATTAAATGGAAGTAGAAATTAGACAACAGAAGTTATTTATGGACAGTTAATATGCACTTCAAGGTAAGCAGTAACTTTTTACTTCCTGTCCTGCAATAAGGGTGGGTTGTTTGGTTTTTGGTTTGGTTTTTTTTTTTTGAGAGAGAGAGAATTTGAAATGTTAGCAGATGTAAGCAGCATACACATACAGATTTTCCTGTAAGTCTACACCTAAAAACATTTTAAGCTGCTGATTTAGGCAAACTACAGCAATACTTAGAAATTATACACAACACTAGTATAAAATACTATACAACTGACTCAAATGTCTTCATCTGTGGCATGGATGTAATAAAATCTTGTGCTCCAAATGTGGCCATCTTTCTGCAGCTATACTTACGTTTTGCATATAAAAAGTTACTGAAGAGAAATAAGTTTCTAACTTCCTCTAGTTTTGAAACATTATAAAACAAAACAGTTTAAGAATTTTACAAGCATTCAACCTGGCACAACTTAACTACATCAGCATTCGTATCTATCATAGTATAGATTAGAGCCTTAATTTCACTCAGCCTTTCTTTAATAGTTAACTCTCTAAAAAAAGGGGCCTTGAACCCTAACAGCTGCTCTCACCTTACACAAAACAACAGAATAAAAGCTACCTGAATGAAAAGCTAGCATGCAAACAGAAGTAGTCTACAATTTTGCTTCTCTGAACGTAAGAGAGATGTCCTTCCTGACAAAATGGACGTCCCACACCTCTAAGAGTTGAAAGAGGATCACTTATCCTTTAAAAGGTGCTTAAAAGATATTTACCATTTCCATATAAAGTTTGTGCTGCAAAATAATTAAAAATTTGTCTGTAGATCAAATACTTAAGTGCGGATTATCTGATCTCTGTGGCTACCTCAAAGCCCATACACCTGAAAGCACTTTTAAGTGCACTCTGGTTACAACTCGATTCCATATTATCAGGATGATCTTTGAATACCCCTTAGCTCTCTCCTCCTGCCTTCCAAAGGCTGCAAATAAAACCAAGAAAATCAGAAGGAAAACACCATCCACCATGGTTAGGTCCCTTAACGAAACTGGACCAGGGTGGCAGAGGACAAAGCAGTCACTCAAGCAGATGCAGACTTTACACCCAAGATATTGGTCTTCTCACAGTGGTTTAAAAGATTAACAATTGTTTCTACATCACTTAAAAAGAATATTTTAAAAAGGAAAATACCTATTCTGCCAAAAGCAGAACTCTATTGCTTCCAAAAAACCAAGCATGAAAATGACAAGACCTAAAACCACGTTCTTTTATTTTATTTCACTGCAGACCAAGAAATACAGATCTTTCTTCCACATAATTGTTTGCCTCGAGTTTTTGACATTAAGAGAACATGCTCCTTGCCAGCTTTATCACAAGGCATGCAACTAAGCAATGCATAAAAATAAATTGTGCAATTCAGCTTGTGTGGGAAACAGGACATGAGTTCTCTCAGAGAGTGACATACAAAATGCACAGAGAGGAAGGATGCAAGATTGTTCTCATCCATACCTTCCCTTCAGGTTTTCAAGTTCTCTGTGATGAAGCATGCTTCTCATGTGTTCTTCCATCTCCTTCAACAAGGGGAAAAAAGTAAAATTGGTCAAAACAAAATGGTATACCATATTTGAAAAGCTCACTTCTGAGAGCTCTTTTGCCTTGCAGGAAGGTGTATGCTATTCCTGTAGAGCTGTAGCAGTTGCCATTCCCATTTCTGTGACCATGAAAGCACAAGTAGTCACACACTCAGGAACTCATATAATGTTACCTTTCCTGAGGAAGGACACACAGGAGTCATTAGAATTTAATAGAAGGGGAGCAGAATTCCAGGAGAAACACAAACAGGGGTGCACCTAGAAAAGCTTATTAGACTGATTTTTGACAAATTACTGTTGTTCATAATGTTAATTAAAAGTCCCATTGACACCACTCTCCAGAATCACAGTTCTTAAAACAGTTTTTCTGTGCAATCTGAGCAGTCTCTCTGTATTTGCATTACGACACAGCTGTAATTGCATCATCACATACTGTTTTACTGTTAGATGTACTTCAGAAACTGAGATCTACGTAACATGTCAGTTTGCTCTCTACAGCACCCTCGATCCATGAACTGCAGCGATGTTATAATTAATTGCTACTGAAAGAGAGCTGCCAGAAGAGAAGGAAAGGTCGCAGTTCAGTAAAAGGAAGCAGTTCAGAAGATTTAACTTTCTCTTGCTGTTTGAGCCAAAGTGTTTGTAGGTCTTCAAAGAACAGATACTAATCAGTATCCTCTTTTAGTCCTTAAAACCCCATCTGCAAAGGAAAAGAAACATCTTCTACCTTGAAGAGCTGTGTGAATCAATACATTTGCATTTGCAAGATATCCCTGCGCCACGTGGTTAAGCAATATATGAAGGTCCATTAAGAAACACTCAGTTTCAGTGCAGGCTTTGCATGATATGCAGTACAGAGAAGATACACATCAAGTTGACACATTAATGAACACATGCTGTGATGCATAATTCCACAATCTCCTTCCATAAGGAAACACAGATCTTCCAAAAAGAATTAAAAAAGTGTAGTACAGTATTCTTAACATATCGCAATTTATAGCCAAATGAGTTTGAGTGCTTTTCACTTTAGCATCTTTATACAACAATATAAAAAAAAAAAAATAGAAATCAAAGACCTCAATATTTTTAACGTACTGAATCAAGCACACTGCACGGCTCATTTCAAGAAAGATACCCTAAAGCACATGCAAATATATTATTTCATTTGTGATAGACCTAGATCAATATATTCCTGGTAGAGCAAAACACCCTCATACTCTGCACAATTCTAAAACAAAAGCACTTCTTACAAACATCTCATTAGTATCTTCATATTAGTATCTACCAAGAGATGTAAAGCATTCACGACTCACCTTTTTTGAGTTGTACACTATGTGACATAATACGCATTTTCGTTCTCGAACCATGCTTATTACTCTGGAAAGATCTTATCCCATACCTGCAAAGAAAAATAATTTTAAAAGAACCAATATTACGGATTACTTCCCCCCTCCATTAATCTGTTTTGGTAAGTAAAAGTTACTATTAATGGAAACACTTGCACTGAGTTTCTGCAGAGAACACATACCTCTCGTGAATAGTCAATACTCTTCAGAAAGAGATAAAGTAGTTTTGAGTACTCATCTAAACCAGCTATAATAAAAAGTAGTTTTCCCTTTCTTTCATTTTTTTCCTTGTGCTGCAAAACACAGCACTTATTTTACAAGCAAACAGAGATCTGTAGAAATCCTCTCAGCTACTTAAATCAGATTAACAAACCATTTTTCAACTAGGATGATGAGAGGGACATAAGGAATTGGGGAAAACCGAGCAGGGCAAACTCAGTTCTGTATTTTGGTACAAAGGGCAGCTCAGATAAGATATTTAAGGCCCTAGGAAAATTAAAGAAAAGCCTGTCATGACAAAGACTGTCAGTCTTCAAGGTCTATCAGTCCATTTATTCACCATAAACCCTGCAATTATTTAAATTCAGTATTTTTCTCATTAACCTCAGTAAGAACTACACATGTGCATGTACTGCAATACCCAATTTAGACAGCATTTAAGATATATTATCTAACACCATGTTCTACATGGGCACCATATGTATTTGAATCATTAATAAAAGCTATTGATTTGCATTAATTATTCCTAACAGTACAAGATTATTCAAAACTTTGCACCAGAATATAAAACATTTTAACACTGACCTACTTAAGACTTGCGTATATGCAAACAAAAGCAACAACAGGTCAAATTAAATGCTGTATGTATTTTATGACAATGTTTAATTCATAAGGAGAGCAATTAAACTAGAGAGGCACATCACAGCCTAGGTTACAATACAAAGATGGACATGACTGCATAAGTGACAGGATATAATCTTTGCCGTTTTCTTTCCTCTTAAAAGACACTAAGATGTAGAATGATCAAGCGTTATAATAATTTGTTATTGACTTGGCAGAGGCAGTTCCTCACCCTAAAGTGGAAAGAAACGTATCTTTTTGCTAACAGGCATTTTTACATCTCTACACAGAAAGACAAATCCTTCCAAGCTTTGCTATTTTACACTGGTCAACTTCAGAGCTGACGCAGCTAATACCATCAAACTTAACCTAGAATAGCCTTCCGCAATAGCTCACTCCACAGCTTACCCCACAAAGTTATTTCTAATTATTTACCATCAACCTTCTCTATCAGAGGCAACAAACCCTTTGAATCTGGTACTGACTAGAAGCTGTGAGCAATGGTCAAGAACCAGATTTTTATGAAATCCAGATTACCTAAAGTAGCTTTGACCTTCAGTACTGTCCAACTGTAAACAAACAAAAATAAGCAAGTAAACCCGCACCCACTCTAATTCCAAAATGTGGTTCTTTGACAAATAACTCTTCTCCATATTTGCATGTCCATTTACAGTTAACATATGGACCAGCATCTATCCAGTTTAAAGGGGAAGAAATTGAGAATTGCAATAGCCCTTTCACCTTTAGACAACAGAAAAAGCAGTTCCCTCCCTAAAAAAGTTCCACATCATCATACCAAAACAAACACACTTAAAACACAACAGGAAATTCAATCATCTTCTTATGTTCCCTAACCAGCATTCCTGGGGTGCCATTCCTGATCTCACTGAAATACCTGATAGCGTTTAAATATGCATTCGCACCTGATGTACTCTAATCATTAGTAACTGCTATTAATAACCCAACAAAGGTACAGGATCATTCAGAATTTGCACCACCCTAGGTCATATAGAGCACACATATAAATTGATGTGGTATCAGTTATGTGCATGCAAAAGCGCCTGCCTTCATGGAAGGTCTGAACACAGAAATACCAAGTTTTGGAACAAATTTTTTTGAAACCACGTGTCTAAACATATTTCAACTAAGACAGCAGTTAAGGAAAGTTTAAGCTAATGAGCAGAGGCAGAAAATGAGATCTTTCAGCCTCATGATTTTCCACTAAGTTATTAGGTGAGTGTAGGAACATACCATCAACATAGCATTTATCCACAGATCTGTGCAGCAGCAACAGATTTAAGAGAATTATTTATGATTATACACAAGTGACACAGATTTTGATGCCTACCTAACATGAGAGCTGTTTTAACGTGATTAATATGAAGTTACTCCTAAGAGGCAAGGATGCTAGTCCTTGCACTAATTTCAGACACTTCCTTTTGCATTAACTTATTCTGTACCCCCCAACATACTTCATTAGCACTACTTTTTAGTTTAGCTGAGTAATACCCTGCATGTGCTCAGGTTCTTGGTCAAGATTACGCAAGTATTTACAGAATTCATTCTGCACAGGGGTGAAACAGCAGCATGGGACTTAAATCAGGAAAAGCAGGCCAGTAAAGTATGGTGACTTGCTGACACCAGTTAGCATATAACATTAAAAAGTCTTCACAAGTGGAAGTTACCATTACACCTGTTTTGGCTAATTAAAACATATAGTAACTATACACGATTACAGGAAGAGTTTTAGGCTAACTGCCCAATCAACTGGGCATTACTTATGACAGAGTACTAAAAATACTAATGGAATTCAAATGCTATTGGATGTCACTATGAAAAGTGAAACTTTCATCTCTACAGAGAGAAGCCCTTAGAGGCAAGGACTCAGAAGTAAAGAAATTCAGTAGATGCTACAGGGACTGGGAGAAGACAGACCCATGTTCTATTTCCAGATCACCTCTTGATTTACTGTCTACATAGAGATAAACCACTTCCCTTCATCCTTAGCTTTCTCTCAAATCCTGATGTAAAACCCATGACTCACTTCAATGAAGAAGTACAATTTCACTATAAAAGAACTTCCATGAAGTACTTTGAAAAACATTATAAATTCAAGATATTCCCTCAAGCACTATGCAACAGCAACAAGAACCAGGCAGCTTTTGAGCCATGCAGTGAGTGATGGCAGTTCTCATCATACACTAGTCTGTTCAATCCCAGAACTTTCATATCAAGAAACTTCAGAAATGCAGGCATATTTGAATTTTTAACAAAAAAAAAACCCCATAGTTTAAACACCGAACAACCTTCAAGCTTTTATAAGATTCATCAGTTTGTGCTTCTGAAATCACCAACTTGCTGTATAGCATGGCAAATTAGTTTTTATGGGATGTTAATAGGAAAATGAGCTACTCTAAAATATGAGCAAACTGCAAGCAAAGATAAGGCTTTGCCAAAGAGACCCACCACCATATAAAAGAGAAACACATGTCAACAGCAAAATGTAAAGCCTTTAAAGCAAGTGAGATGTTCTAACAACTTTCTACTTTGAGGTAATGTAACCATTTGGTGGGTCATTTTTTGTTTGTTTTAAAGGGAAGGGATGCATTTTACAACTATGTGATGTAAATGCAACTTGCCCATAGCCTGCACCTGCCCAGAGCTTGGAAACGCCACACAGTTTTAATTAACTTAAGCAAGTCTGCTACAGAGATTTTGGAGAACAATTCTCACAAGTAAAAATAGCCCACAAAGAAAATAAGGCATTAGACTACTTCCTGCTCCAACATCCATTTGTCCACAGTTATTCAACCTTACCGGATAACATACATTAAAAATGCACGTCAAGGTTAAATCTGCTATAGATCAGTGGCAGAACACTGACTATATAAAGCTACAAGTGCCATGGAGTGGGGCGGGCAGCCCAGCATTCCAGCTGCCTAGAAATCCTCAGGAGGCCTCAAAGAGATCAGCAGCACTGCCCTGCCTAAAGGCTGCATGTCCCTACAGACAGCAGTGGAAACTTTACACTTGACAAGAACAGGAGTCTAGAAATTCACTGCAGCAGAATGCTCTGCAGCAACACGCTCCTCAGCTCCTCACAAAGATGTCATTCCTTTTGCTTTAGCGACCAACTGCACATGTTCTCAGGGAGCTGTAGAACAGCGATACAGCTGCCACAGACAGAGGACAGGACAGGAGAGCAGAGAAGAAAGAAGCAACTTACCACAAAGTGCATTCATGAAATCTTTAGTTGGCTGATGGGAGGATGTGGTGGACACAAGGTCATTTTGACTTGGAGAGAAGCCTCTTGCTCAGAAGAACTAGGAACAGAAGTCTATTTAGGCCCTGGAAAACACTTACACAACCACTGCGAGGCTAGACCACAGTTTGATTATCCACACCACACAATTTCTTTTGCTAATCTGCCAAGAAGCCTGATCTTTTCATAGGAAAACCTGGAGAATTCCATACAGGCCTTTGAAAGAGGTATCCAACCACCTATTGTGATAAATGAATGCTACAAAGCAGTAACGACTGCTAATCTAACACATGTTTTGTTAAAGCCTAATAATAAAGAGATTTTTCTTAAGGAAAAGTTTTATAAGGATAAAACCATTTCCCTGTATTACACACTGCTCCAAACATCAAAGCCGTGTACCACTGTGCGAATGCTGTACAAAAACAAGTAATTCATCATAACAAGATAGAGGCCTATGCTCAGATTTCATCACCCGGAGTAGAATTGATGCAAAATAAAGCACCAACAATCAAAGACTAGCTTTCCTTCCCAGATTCATTGCCCTTGAGGCATACAAATTCACCACTTATCCCCTTGCTAGATTGTAACTTTTACCAATTACCTTAACATTACTTCTGGGCATATGCGGGAGGCACTTTAAGTTTCATTCTGAGATGCTGATCTGTGCAACCCAGCCCAATCAGCAGACAGAAACTTAAGGATTTACTAAAGTTAAGTCATGACTAACAGCATTATTCTCCCCTAGCACACTATCATGCACTCTACAAGCTACTTTGTAGTCACAGGGCTGATTTTTTAATGTGGCAAAGGAGATAACCGTATTACAGCCCAGCAGTTAAAACACTCGTACCAGAAACAAGACTTTTAAGGTAAATTCCTCCCTGCTTTCCAAGATTTAAACTTCATCCTCATGACAGACTGGGAGTACTCTAGACTCCTCAGCACTGAAGCAGCACCACTGCTCAGCAAATGTTATAACTGGGCAGCCAAGTGCTCACCTGTTTTGATATTGAGCCAGAAGTTCTTCCACAGATCAAAGTTCTTTCAGTTTCTGTTAAAAGCAATAAAGTTGACTACTCTAACTAGCCTAAAAGACATCGAGCAGACACTGTTTGCATGCCATCCCATGAGTATGGCTGGCTTTTTACAATATACAGGGAAGGTATACTGGACACAAGGAGACTGTAGAGAAATACCTTAAACAGACCAGCTGTAGCTGGCAACTAGTTCGCTCCCTACCCCCATGGTAGGATGGGGGAGAGAATTGAAGAGTCAAAGTGAGAAAACTTGGTTGTTGAGATAAAGGGAGTTTAACAGGTAAAGCAAAACAGAGCAAGGAATTCATTCACCACTTCCTATCAGCAGGCAAGTATTCAGGCAACCCCAGGACATCAGGGCTTCGTCACATGTAACGGTGACTTGGGAAGACAAACACCATAACTCTGAATGCCATCACTCCACCTTCTTCTTCCTCCAGCTGTATTTGCTGAGCATGATGTCAGACAGTGTGGGACATCCCTTGGGTCAGCTGTGCCAGCTGTGTCCCCTCCCAACTTTTGTGTACCCTCAGCCTCCTCGCTGGTCAGGTGAGGAACAGAAAAGGCCTTGGCTCTGTGTAAGCACTGCTCAGCAGTAACTAAAACATCCTTGGGATATCAACATTATTTTCAGCACAAATCCAAAATACAGCCCCATACCAGGTACTATGAAGAAAAGTAACTCTATCCCCGTCAAACCCATCAGGCACAGAAACAACTGGCATGAACAGAGTTGGGAGTGATGGCTACTTTTATTTCAGTAAATCTAAGAATGGGGTACAGATCAGAAGAATATATACACCTTAATTCACAATCAAATTGCATCTAATTTGCTATATATAAGCAATGCTAATACTTTGATAATACCCAAACTAAGCTTTCCTTGCTGTAAACTGAGACAATTCTTCCCTAGTGAAAGTAAATGTCTTATTGGTATCTTACTTATGACAGCTTTCTATGCACCAGAAGATTCAGGAATATACAGATTGGAATGGAGAGCTGTTCAGCACCATTGCTGTATGCTGTCATTTAGGACAACTAAAATTCATACACCTGGAAAGCTTCTCTTTTCCTCTGTACTCCCAGTCCATTTTTCAACATATGCAAATTCTTTTTCTTCAGATGTTTTCCTCAAACATCACATTTCCTGAGCCTGCTAAAACTGCCATTCCTCTCTCCAAACTTCCCACAACTCTAAGAGAAACGTCCAAAACTGGACACAGTACTCCAAGTAAGATCCCTATTAGTACTTCATAATACTCCAACTAAGACCCCTTCGGAGGGGGGAATTGTCTTTGTACCCCTTCTACTATTACAGCCTCAAACATAATTAATAATGATTGAGACAAAGTCTTATTAAGAAGCAACGCAGTGATTCACAAGATGCATGATAAATAACCTGATTTAGATGATTTCTGTGACTTACAAAAGAATTCACAACAGGTTATTCTGATAACCTTTATAAAAGGTTAAAAGGTGTCACTTTATAAAAGGTCTTCAACAGAGACCTTTATAACAGTGACAGAAATACGCACCACTTAATTTTACACTTACTTCCGTAACATTTCTCTGTATCTTTTTTTTCCTTCCTAGGGTATTTAAGCTTATAATACCCTTCACAGATATGCATAATATGTCTCTTTCACTGATTACAAATTAAGAACAGGGATTCAGAAGCCAAATCAAAACAGACTATACATCCCACCTATTCCACTTCCACAGATGCAGGAACCTGGCCTTGGCAAAATGACTCAGACTCTCTAAGAAAGATCTACATCGACACAAGAGAGTGTGCAGGAGAGCATTCAGTCAGGAGGCTGCTTTTATTTATACAGTCACTACACGGTAAGAACCATGAAGAACCACTGGAGAGTGATTTGAAGCACTCAAAGCAGGGTAGTCCAGTCACTCATCTGTATACGGAGATTTGGTGACAAGGAAATTCAAGTTAAGGATCCCAGAAATTAAAACAGCAGTCATTAATCACCAGCTAATAGAAATACAGGGGTCTGTCTGAATCCTTACATCTCCATAACACAGTTTGCCCCAGAGCTGAATATTAGCAGCTCTGTCAACTTCGGGTCAAAATGTAAAGTAGCCTTTTACATTTTACAAAATAGATGAGAAAAATCCTTTCCACTACAAACATGAAAAACATTTTAATTAAAAGAAAGAAGTTATTCATAATGCACAGTATCCTCTTATTTTTCCTATAATCAGCTTGAATCATTTAACATCTCAAATCTCATAACACCATCTGGTGGCAGAGTTCAAAGATGTTAAAAATAATTTTATCAATTTGAATTTGATTCCAGATATCTTAGGAATTTGATCTTTACAAGATAAAGTGGAAAAAAATCAATGAAAAAATACCTTAATTTTACCTAGATGGAGTTATCTACAAGTTTTAGTATCTCCATACACATTTCTGGTATATATTTATAGGACAGTCCTTGTACTGGCTATAACAGCCCTGCATAAATTAAGATGCATTTATCTAACATCTCATCAAATGCGTAACATTTTTAGATATATGAGCTAGAAGTAACCCCGGGTTTGGTTGCAGCAGTGAAACTGACTCAGGTAACAGCTCAGCATAGTTCAGCTAAAACCAATGACTTGTTTCAAATCAGTAACACCAGAACATAGCTGCTATTTAACAAACTTTACATACAAAAATCACTCAATAGTGGAATATGTGTGGTGGTGCAAATGCAGTTGCCTTGTACTGCCTGGTCAGTTGAAGTCAAGCAAGGACGGAAAACAAGATAACACAGCTACCTTCAGCAGAAGAGACTTCCGGATAGGAATCTTTTTTCCAAGGTAAGAAGTCAAAGTGACATTGTATTGGCCCTAGAACCTGCAACTTTCATCCTAAATATTGCAGTGCTAATGGGGAGATACTTTCAAACGTCAGCAAAACTATTAACCAAATTTTTGGAAGGCTTGAGTGGTTTTCTTAGGCTAGAATTTATCAGTTCAGCAAACCCATCAATTAGTTTAATACAGTACTTGAGGGTTGACTGAAAGAAGTAGGAAGTAACAAAAGAAGAGAAATAATCAGCACAGACACAGGAAAAGCTGCCCCAGGAACTCATGCTGAAAACTGAAGTCCAACAAACCTCTGTCTTCTTCTCTCTCAAGTCACATCTCAGAACTCATCTGCTCTACAAAGCTTTGAAAGCTGCAGATGTAGGAAGAAGGTGAAAAGGAAAATTTCTTACTCGCATGAGATCATTGTTAACAAACCCCTATCGATAAAGTATACTGAAGTATAAACGTTAATCGTTAATGCCACTTCTACCTAACGTTCATAAACTTTTCCAAGTTCAAGTTCATAAGCACCCCTGAACAGTTAAATAAGTTTGCATGTGAATTACCCTGCGTGAAATAATGATTATTTTTAAACACCTCCTATATCATTATACTATTGAGGTTCGTTTCATACTATCAGTCCCACTCCTTTTAGAATACCAGACATTTATCACCACATTCATACACGCTTTCACGACGTCACATTTTTAGCTGCAAGTTATGGGGAAGGTAATTAAGTGACTGTGCCCAAAGCCACACTTCAGCCCTGGAAACACTTCTGGCAGGCACGAAGAGACAAGACAGCATGATAGATACTCATCTGTGACTGGGAAGCTGCGCTAACAAAGCTTGTCTTTAACAGAGTAACAACGCTCAATGCAGTACCAACTGCTGCAATACAGGGCGCTCACAAGGCAAAGCAAAACACGTGCCCGCCGCAGGGCAAGGTGCCCGCAGCAGCCCCTCTAGGCCGGGCCGGGCCCGGCCCG